TAGCCTTGGAGCTAAACCAGGTCCTGGAGAAACACAGGGTGAACCGTCTGTCTTTGGACTGATGATTAATGTTGATGTTTGGTTTCACAGTGTGTTTAAAATAACACAGTGTTGCTTTAAGGACTTTGTTTGCATGGAATCAGTTCATGTTTTATTTAGCTCCATGCATGGGAGGACTGCTATGCTAAGCTAAGCTATGCTAAGGTTTTACTTCATAGTTATTAGTGTATTTTTCATCATGCATTGTTTACAGCTTTTAAGCGCTGCTCCAACCTGTGAACCTGAAGGAAAACCCGCGTTAGCAAACTCTGACAGTCGGCCGTTCCTTTGCAGCATATAATCCCAATCCTGTAGCTGCCATTTTTAAATCCTGCATCACAAACAGACGGATGCACGCGCTCTCCTGAGGATTCGTCTTTGCTATTAGGCAGCGGTCAGGAAACAAGGAACCCAAAAAAGAAGCAATTTCCTGGTGGATTGCTTCTGGTTGCAGAATCTTACTGACTGTTGATGATCAAAGTCTCTCATTTCTATTTCATTCTTAGTGAGGTTTGAGAAACGCCAGTGAATTTAGTTTGCTCTCCGTATCATAATCTGCAGATCAGCATTATGTATCATTTTAGCAGCAGTGGAAATAGTTTCCTGATTATTGATGATAACTGATTAAATTGGTCAAAGTGTTTTCTGTGTCATTTAAACATTCAAATCAAACCGCATCTCTTCTCTTCAGCTCCGTCTCACTTCTCCTCCTCCATACGGCGACAGCAGCAGACGCACAGCGAGCTGCAGGTTCTGCTTTCAGGGTTTCTCTCTCGCTATGTGGGAGTTTCCACACCAGCGATCAGGAGGAGGGACGGCTGCAGTCAGACTTCAAGCTGATCACTGCTTATTGAAGCTGACCTGTGCTGCAGGTGGAACACCTTTAAAGGAATCTGCTCCCAGGTTTAAAAGTGTTAGGCCTAACCTAAATTAAATCTGTCAAAGAAGATGGAGCCAGCAAGACCAGCGTTCCACCTTCTGCCCATTCTGGCTGTTTTTACCAACAACGACTGGAATCTGGTTGGCTTGTTGTGTTTGATCCTAAGTAGGAGATTTCTGCAGCGATGAGGCATTGCTGACATTCTTTTACCCAGAAACGTCCCAGAGAAACGTCCCAGAGAAACGTCCCAGAGAATCGTCCCAGAGAATCGTCCCAGAGAAACGTCCCAAAGAAACGTCCCAGAGAAACGTCCCAGAGAAACGTCCCAGCAGCTCCAGCGCCGTGTTTACATCTGCTCCGCTGTGGAAACCTGCCGAAACGTTTCAATAACAACATTTTTACAGTTTCTTTCTGTTTCTCACTTCACCTAAAGTCTACGACGGAGTATTAGGTCCAGGCTCCAGGTTATTTCTTTTTAATACCAGAATAAAATCATAACATTCAGAGAATAAAGTCACAAAATTATGAGAAAAAAAGAGGAAAAATGACGAGAATGAAGTCATGAAACCTTAAGCAGTTTCAGAAAGAAAGCTTCCAGCTCCGACCAGCAACCTGAGGCAGAATTTCATGCTGTTTTGCTAAAAAACAAAATATTTCCTTATTTGGGAAAATTATGCAAAACTTCACAACTTCCTCATTTTAGGGAAGAGTTGTCATAAAATACAACTTTATTCTCATAATATTAGGACTTTATTCTTGTAAATTTACGACTTTATTCTCATAAAGTTACGTCTTTATTCTGAGAATTTGAAGTTTATTCTTGTTATTTTATGAATTTATTCTTGTAAATGTCCGACTTTATTCTCATATATGTATGACTTTATTCTCGTAATTTTACGTCTTTGTTCTCAGAATTCTATGACTTTATTCTCATGAATATACGACTTTATTCACATTATTTTATGACTCTGTTGTCATATTTTAAGAAATCTCTAGCCTGGCGCTAACACTCTGTCCTAAAGGTCGGCTCTCAAAACAACAAACTAACCGATAATAATTCGGATTATTACCTAATTGTTGAAGATGAAAAGAAAATTCATTGATTCTCTACAAACTTTCTGTTATTTAATATTTTCCTGCACAAGTGAATTATTTTTTTTGGATTAGTTGGTTGATGGACATAGATATTAGATATTTGAGCAAAGTGCATCTAGTTTCTTTATGTCGAATGATATGCGTTGTTTAATGCAGCATTAAACATTTCTGAAGGAAAAATGGTGGAAAGTTTGGAAATTCATGGAAGTTCAGCTAATTTATTAAGCTGAAGTAGTTTTATAATATTTTCCCAGGCTGCTCGATAGCGGCGGTAAAACCCCACCTTCACTTTCTGAGCTATTAATTAATTAAGCTATTAATCAATAAATCAGTTAATCAGATTAGTTTCTGATCATTTCATGTAAGAAGAATCTGGGATTTTTTTCCATCCCTCCCCTCCTCGTCCAATCAGCTCATTGCTTTTTGTCCATAACTGATAAACTGCTAACAGCTGCTAACATTTACTGAGCTCTATTTGCTTTGTTTTATTATATTATATTTCACAGCTTAAATATTGTTTTCCTTTAAAATAAACTCTCACATCATTTGATTTTTTTAACAGCAGTTTATCAGTTTTAGACTTTTAGGCCCGTTTTTATGTAAACACCTGAGAAAATGTTGCTTGTTTTACGATTGGCTTCTGCAGTGAAAGGAAGCGGAAACTCTGGTTTTCGGGGGGGGGGGCGGGGTGGGGGTTACGCCACTTTATTTTTATTCATGGAGTTTCTTGCTGGGTTGTGATTTAATGGGAAGCAGAAAACGTGATAATAAACAGATTCACTGCAACGATGTAAAAACGAAGCATTTATTCTGTTAACTTTTCCATTTTTTATTATTTCCCCAGAGGAACAAGCAGGCCTGTTCTCCTCAGGGACCCACTATGGCTCCACAGAAAGCAGCAGCAGAACGCACGATCACCTGGCAAACAGCAACCACAGCGACCACAGCAAGCACAGCTTCCCCCCGTCGGCCGCCGCCCGCTGGGTCGGCGCCGATCGGGAGGAGGAGGCCATCCGCAGGAAGCTCAAGTACTTCTTCATGAGTCCGTGTGATAAATATCACGCCAAAGGACGCAAACCCTACAAGCTGATCCTGCAGCTGCTGAAGATCATCATCGTCACGGCTCAGGTACT